ATCATTATTTCAAGTTCAGAGTGACCTACATATTTTCCACAGATAGGAACTTAGGAGTGTCTCTTCTATGTAGTGTTGAACAACAACAAAAACCTGTGGTTCCAGAGAATGCTGTATAGACAGGAGGAAGTAACCAGGAAGGAGCTACAGTACAACTACTATACCATCATATCTTTATCTTTTGCATTTCAGCTGGTAAGTGAGCCCTAAAAGATGAGTGTGTGGCTATGCTCTGTATAAGCAATTGCCCAATAACTGAATGTGAAAGGCAAGGACCCACAAATTCAGAGAGTATAAGCAGACATTTCTTCCATGGAATGTTCCCTTTTCCTCTCACAGCTAATAATGGCTAATGATGGCTAATAATGAAGAGGATGGTACACAGAGGGATCCGACCCTGGGCTACTAGGACTTCACATCATTGGATCCTTGTGGGCAAACCATTTCAAGCTGGACCTTGTATCAAGATACTTTGATGGAGCCACTAGGTATCCTCCGATGTAAGGAGAGCGTCCCTACTGTGAAACTGTCCTAAACCTCTCAAAAGCAGACTGCTGGAAGAAGGGATGATGAAACTGTACATGTAAGGATATAAGTGAGAAATGCTCTTCATCAAACAACCAACAGTCACTACCTCAACTCTAAGGAAGAATGTATTCACAATTCACTGGGCTCCCAGGCTATCTAAAAGTCAAGAAAGCATCATATGGCTGCCTTGGTAATGATTCAGGAGATGGTAGAAATTTAAACACACAATGCCACCAACTAAAATCAAAAGTCTCTTGGTGTCATTCTATAGTGACACAGTACTGGACTCTGGTGGAGACAAGTGAAAAGAGCGATTCTGATTTCTAGAAACTTTATGATCATGCCATACTTGCGTATGGCATGAGACATTACTTGCTTATGGAAAGCGCAGAACTTCAGAAGCCATTCCAGTGTCCAATCGCTTTCATGGAAGCCAACTGTTCTCTATACCTGTGAAGTTTATGATACTCACTCTGTCTTACAACTAGGTAATGTAAAATGTCAGCACAAAAGGTATCAAACACAGGAGCTGATACGGTGGGCTAGTATAGAATATGGTTACTAGAAGTCAGGGCTTCATAAAGGAAATGGAGGCTTTATAAACGGAATGCATTTAAGTAAAAGGAAAGAGAAGTAAGGGCATTTAAGGTAGACAATGGCAAAGTGAAAATGAAGTTTTGACAACTTAATGATGCCTAGAGAACCAGCCACTGAGTTACAGGAAACTTTGTCCTTGGGCAGCATGTAAGGTTCATGGTCATTTTAATCTACTACTATGAGCTAAGTATGCTGATCTACTATGTGTGGGAGATAGAGGCTAGATATAAACGTCTTGGAGGGGAAGTCCAGTCTATAAATTTATCTACATACATATGGCTGTCTCGTATGATACAGTGTAGAAATATGACGATCAGAAAGATTTTCAGGGGGATGAATGAATATCAAAGGAGGCTGTGCCGGGGAGTTAGGCAAGTACCTAGGTCCTGAGTCATGACTCTGAGTCATACTCAGCATCCCTGACTATCCTCACTGTCCCCAACTACCCCTTCCTTCTTCCCTCTGCTCGAGAAAAGAAAATAATTCGAGACATGCAGACTTTCTGTAGTTTCATTATCATTCCAAAAGTCTCTCCCGGAAAACATCTCTGAAGTGCGAAATAGTGTCATTACCAAGATCTAGAGGAGGTTTTACGTTCCTAGAGTCAAGAATCTGTAATCTCTTTTCTGGATCTTTTCAACCATGTGATCAGATACAATTGCCAGATAAAAACCATGGTAACATACAATCTAAACTGCATTAAGCCATAACATAAGAAGTGTCTCCATCCATCGGTGAATTCTAAGCCAGTTGCTTCAAAGCTGCATGCTGCTCTCCACGCTGTGGTCCGACCTCAACGGCCAGACACTTGTCAGTGTTCTTTCCATAACAATCAGCCCCAGCTCTGTAGCTGCATCATACGTGTTGTAGGCTGCTTAGGCCACACCACAAGGCAGCCCGAAAATGCTTCTGCTGCGCAATTTCTGCATTTCCCCTTGGTGAAGGCAAGTCTTAAGCAGACATCTTATCCAAAAGGATCTCGCCCCTCTCCATCCAGATTAGGTTCAGCCACCCTCTTAACCTACTTCTGAGAGAGGAACACTGGGCCAGAAAGGATGATGGAGCGGTGCCTCTCAGATGCCTGCAAAGTACCGCTTTATTCTGCAGTTACATTTTCTGAGAGGTTGAACAAGTTGATGCTCCAAATGGAGTGATCCCATTATAGAAGCTTCAAAGGAATAAAGTGAACACCATGGCCGCTTATGTAAGCCACTATTCCCTAAGTTCAAATACTCCATCTAGAAGCCTGGGTGGGGGACATGTCTATGCAGTTTGCATTTACATGCATGTGAATCATCCTAAGAGAATTCCAGCATTTGTAACTGATGGCCTCTGCTTTCTCTGGCCCTGTCTTCTTTCATCAAATTTCTTCCTTTCTAGGATAGGAGCTACTCAACTACAGGTGTGTGCTCCGAGCAAGTTCAAGGAAATCCAGTGACAGATTCGTTACTTTTAGAAATTACCAGCAAGGATGGTGAGAGTCAAAGGATTCTCATGGCCAGCCCTGTGAACTGGGTGATGGCTGGAATGGCTTTTCATCATCTATAGGAGTCCCCATATTGGCACATTTGATGTGTATTGAGAGCAGCACTGTTTTAGAAGTGAAACTTCTCATCCCCTAAGCACAAGAATTCTAGTGACCTATTTGGGTGGGGGAATGGTGAGGATTAAACATTTTATATTTAGTGAGCATCTGTGGTGATCGGTGTCCTGTTTAGAACACAGTGGAGGAGGCATAACTTCTTTTTCAATCAGGTTAATGAGGAATTGATTCAAATTTTGATACAAGTGCTAAATACCAATCTTTTGGGGAGTGGTGCTCACCTAGCCAGCTGCTTAATAAGGAAGTGAAAACATGGACGACCGATAGCAAATCTATAACTACTTCCCAGAGTGGTGTTAGAATAGTTTTTTGTTCAGTAGCCTGTGCAAACACTCAGGCTCTAGTCTAAACTATTGGGGGAGAAAGAGAGAGAATGCATCTATTTCTTGTAAGTAAACAGGCCCCATTGTTGGTGACCTCCTGAACTGAGACTTGATCAAGCCACAGGTTCCAACAAAACCTTGAAAGGGATAAATTGCCCACAAAGCAGGCCAAAGTCACTGCTAGAGCCCTTTAGAAAACTCCTGTCGCAATTTCTCAAGACAACTGAGCCATCTGGTGTCAGAAAGTTAACAGTCAAAGCTCGCCCCCCGCCTCCCTCTCTCTCTCTCTCTCTCTCTCTCTCTCTCTCTCTCTCTCTCTCTCTCTCTCTCTCTCTCTCTCTCTCTCTCTCTCTCTCTCTCTGCCTTCTTCCCAGGGCAAACTGAGCTTTCCCCCAGATGACCCTTGATACAGTGTTAGCCAGCATCTTCTCTCAGAAAGGTAGGCTCAAAACTAAGCTTCTAAATCCAAGCATCCCAAAGGATGGCCTGAGAAGCACACGGGAACACACCCTGCCACACGACTCGGATATGGGATGTGCAAGTGAGTCTTTTACAGTCTAGGTGAAACACACATCCGTATTAGTGACAAAACAAAGATTCTGGGGCGATCCATTTATTGGGGATTTAGTGTGTGCCACACTCTGTATCAGACGTCTTACCTACTACATCTCCTATATCCCAATACAGGTGAAAAAGTTTGGGCCAGAAAGGAACAAGTTGCCCAGCTGATAAGTGGTCACAGCAGAGTTTCAGTCCTGGGGTATCAAACTTCATGTCCCCTGTCACTCTACCACCAGCCTTAAGAAAATATGTCCATCTGTCTACATGCCTTGCTTAGTGGTAGGCAGATCACACAAGTCATATTTTTAAAATATGTTTCATTTTTAGATTTTTAATTACGTGTGTTTGTATCTGTGGGAGTGATGTGCAGGTGTGTACAAATGCCTATAAAGGCCAGGAAAGGGCATCAGATCCTCTGGAGCTAGGGCTGTTAAGTGGCTGTGATCCTCTTGAGTAAGTGCTGGGACTTAGATCGCATTTCTTTACAAGAGTAGCATGTGCTCTTAACCACTGAGCCATCTCTCCAGCCCCATATGTCATCTCTTAACAAGCATTAAGGGAAGTAATTCAGCAGCTCTTTAGCCTGCTGACGACTGATCTTATACCGAGGTGTTTTCTAAGTAGGAAGGCAATGAAGATCGTCACTTCTGCCTCCTTACCCAAAGCAGATCCTAAGAATCACAGTTGATCTTTCTGTGGGTGAGAGAGGCAATAAGAATATTCTGAAATCAGTCAATCAAACAGTCAATATCTGTCTGAGTCCACTTAAAAGTCTGAATGATAATTGTGTTAAAAATACAAAGTCTCTTGTTTTAGGATAAAGGTAACTAAATCTACAGTAACGTAAGTAAAAATTCTAATTAGCTAAAAATTATTGTTTATTGTTTCTTTTACTTTTGCAAAATATATGTGTTTTTACAGTGTGTGTAGATAGCTAATTCTCTTAAGGAGGTGAAAAAATTCCTCTAAAATCTGACTTTTGCCAGAACTGTGATAAATTGCAAGTCTGTGGCTCCCCAGTAGAACTGACATTAATGCATTCATATTTTATCTCTAACTTTTAAAATATCTCATCTCCAAGAATTGAAAATGATTCTACTCCATCATCTTATTTACTTTATATAATGAAATATGGTAAACTGTACCTACCAAGAGACACTCCAAACGAGTGCTTCCCACCCAATCACAGGCTAACCCACACTGGCTCTCCAGATTTCTCCTGTGCAGGTGAAATATAGACCTTGTTTGCCTAAGTGTCCATGCAGTTGTATGCAAATTAATAGCTGAAAGTTTTTTAATAATCACATTAAAAGTCATTGCTTTTAACAATAAGATAGGCTAATCAAGAGGTAACCATGGTCCCATCCAGAAATGAAGAAAACAGGAAATAAAAGAAATTTTTTATTTTGTCATCCATCTGTCCACTTGGAAGTTTATAAGTGGCTGTGCATCCGAGCTGTTGGCTGTGCCTCATTTCCAGGCTCCCTTTCTTCCTTAGCACAGACCCCAGTTTTCTCACCCAGGTCCTGGCCACTGTGTTTGTGTAACAATTAAACCTTTGTCCAGCCCACTTAGCTGCAAAGCAGTCTCCTTCTTAGCCTTAGTCAATTGGGATTGACGTTGCCCTTATTTGAAGCCCAAAATTATTTTCCCCAGTACCAGATATTGAACCTAAGCTTTTGCCCACCCTGGGCATTGACTCCTACCACTCAGCTATAATATCAGCCCACTTTTAGGTTTTATTTTGAGGCAAGGGTTTCACAAGTTGCTTGGGATGACTGATATCACGATCCTCCAAATTCAGCCTCCCGAGCAGCAGGGATTGCTGGCCTGCATCACCAGACCTGGTGCACAAACTTCTTAACCTGCAACATTTGGCTGGAGACTGTAAAGAGCTTAAAAAGATGCATTCCAACCAGATTCAGCCATTATTCAGGACCTCAAACTAGGAAACAAATTAGCAGAAAAGAAAGAACATAACAAGCCCAGGGGAAAGCGTGACAGAATCCCACAGGAAGCAGCTGGTTCAGGTCCACGTTTGAAGAGCGAGTCCACATGTTCCTACTGGTACGAAAGGATGTGCTGTGTGGAAGAAGCCAAGCAGGAGGCTTCAGGACTCTGTGTCAGTCAGAACACAGAGCAACTCCACTGAGAGTCATACTGAGCCGTGCGTTCTGCCTCTCTCGTTTCCTCTTGGCAGAGGGATTATGGAAACTGAAAAGGAAAAAAAAAGAGCCTCCCATCAAGAGTCAGGTTTGCGAAAGGGAATCTTAGAACACTGTCCAACAAAAAGTCTGGGAAACAATATAGGGCCTACAAGATGACTGAACAGGTAAAGGAGCTTGCTTCCAAGTCTGACAGCCTGGGTATGTTGTCTTTAGACCTCTGTTGCGGAGGTCTAAAGCTTGTCCCAGCTTGTCCCACCACCCTTCAGCCCCAAATGAGCACATGGATGCTATATTAGTTATAAAACTGTTGGCTGGTGGCTTAGGCTTCTTATTGTCTAGCTCTGTCTTAATTATTAACCCATTTCTAGTAATCTAAGTATTTCAATGTTGTCTTATCTTACCAGAGAAGGGTCTGGACCTGTTACTCCTTTGGCAGCCTATATGGCAACTGTCTGCCTACGGTTCCCAGAATTATCTTCATCTCCTAGCCTTGCCCATACTTCCTGCCTGGCCAATCAGCCAATCCGTGTTTTATTCATCAACCAATAAGAGAAACATATACACAGAAGGGCATCTCCCATCATCAGACCTCTACATGATCACTGTGGCATGTATGCACCCTCTCCCATACACACTAAATGAATGGATTATTTTTTTAAGTCCAACAGGACTTGATCCAGCATCATTATCTATAATAGCATAATGGGGTAAGAAAGTCTAGGATGCAGTGAAGCATGTAATTGGGCAAGCAGTGTATGCATTTCTGGGTGATAAGCAAGACCCAGATCAACAGGTACACAGGAAAATGCCTCGATTCTCAGGGTGCAAACTTGAGGCTGGCAAGAGCTATGAAGGAAACCCCTTCTCTTTCATCTCATGGAGTTTTTTCCTGATCCTTCAGCCCAACCCCAAACTCCCACGGCTTTATAACACAATGTTACACTTGATGACAAACTAGGTACAAATACTGGAGTCTCCTTGGATACAAGTTTCATAGGAAGATGACTTGTGTCTGTTGGTTCATTGCAAATCCTCCGGGACCCAGCACAGTATCTGATATACACACAAGATGCTCCATAGACACTCCATAGGATACATGGATCTATTTAGCAAACTCTTAGTTCCCAGGGAACAAGATGGAGAACACAGACCATTTCACAGGAAAGGCTGCAGTGCTACAGCCAAGGAGGAGAAAGTTGATACTGGCAAGAGTGAAGCAGAAGATCCCTCTTTGACTTCATGTGGTTTCTCTTCCTTCATCCCCATCCCCAAATTCCCATAGCTTTATAACACAGTACTATGCTTGATAGTAAACTAGGCAGAGATATTGAAATGTAGATCCTGGAATAGCATGTAGTTACAGCCACCCCCTTCACCAACAGAGAAAACTATGCAGGAGTTAACTTAAGAGGGATTGATGGGCTTGCCAGGGATGCCTTTCCTCCAAAGTCCATTAGTTCAGCTATGCTGGTTATTCACAACCAAATGGTCAGTGTCCTTGTTACATTGATTACTAATTACTTAGAATATCACCCTGGGGAGAGAAAAGTTTAGAGCATGCTAGCATGACCCTTGTGGCTAAATAAGGATATCTCCGTTTGAGAAAGGCCATCCAGGCAAAAGATGACTGGAGACAACCATATAAAAAAATAATACTCATTACACCAAAGTACCAGGGTACTTCCCTCAGTATTCATAATTCTTTGGAGATCTGGGTCAAGTTAAACAGAGACCTGAATCTCAAAATCTTAGATTTGTTTATGTCATTAACCTCTTTGTACCATGAAAACCAAGACACAAGTGCATATTATAGTCCCACAACAGACATTTCTGAATAAACCTTGTGTGAGAAAAATAAATATCCCTTCCCATGTTGAATCTCCCAGATTTTCAAAAGCATCAGGATATATCTTATCTTCATGTTCAGCGTATTCATATTTTTGCCCTTCTATTCTTCAAATGTGGGATATTAATAATCAGGAATACACCTGAATAGAAACTGTCTGTAAAGTTGACTGCATCCAGGAGTGGGAAGCATATTATTATTCAGATAAATGAGATGGTTGAAGGTATCCTAAGGTTTCTTGGTGCATTGTTGGAGAGGTACATGCACTTGTGTGCATACTAGTTGCAGGGGAAAGGACTGTGTTGCCACATGCAATGAGAGTTCATAGCACCTTGCGACAGTCAGTTTTATATGCGTACATCAAAGGATTTCATAGTAACAGCAGCAGTAGCTTCATGCAGTAACTGTGGGCCACACAGTAGGTGTGTTCTTCCCCCAAGGCAATCTCATTTGTTCTTCTCAATAAATGCATAAGCTGAGTAGTATTCTTTCAAAACTCACTGCTGAAACTCTAATCCTCAGTGTAACAATATTTGATACCACCTTTAAGAAGATAATTAATGTCAAACAGATGGTAAGGGCATGTGTGGCATTTGTCCCATAGGATTAGAGCCCTTTTAAGAAGAGTAATGACCAAGGAGTTGTCTATATAGAAGGAGATCATGTGAGAGGCCAGTGAAAAAGCCACCATCTGCAAATTAAAGAGTGGAACCCGCAAAGAAATCAAACTGATTGAAGCCTTGATCTTAGATTTAGAGCTGAAGACTGTAAGAAAGTGAATCTGTGTTGGCAAAGCCACCCAGTCTGTGGCCTTCTGTGTTGGCAGCCCTAGCAGACACATATAAAGATGTATGCAGTAGAGGGTCTTGGAGATGGACTTCTTGAGTTCAAATCCTTCCTGGTCTGCTGTTTATCTTTTGGGGATGTTTTAAGATTTTATGAGGTATAATTTACAAATGATATTTAATGTATTTAAGTTATATGATACAGTATTAGCTACATGATCACACTGTGCAGTGAGTGGCACAGTTGGGTTAACATATCCACCAACTTTCACTCCAGTTCTACCCCCCCCCCAGTGAAATTCAAGGGAGCTGTTAACCATATGGGACATTAACTTACCTATCCCTGATAGCCATAACACCACCTCTCCATTTCCTCTTTCTGGGCTTCTTAACCATGATGCTCTATTGCTTATCTGAAGCAATATCAAATTTACAACAAAATTGCATTAACCCCACATATCACCTCGTGGAAGAGGGAGACAAATATACTCAGTCTATGAAAAAGAGAAAGTCTGTAGTTCTGCTTAATAAACAGGTAATGCAGGTGATCCTCAATCTGGTAAAACTTAAAAGTCACCTAGAACATATATCCAAAAGATGCCCATTCATACAACAAGGACGTCTGTTCCACTATGTTCATAGCAGCATTATTTGTAGTAGCCAGAACTTGGAAGCAACCTAGATGCCCCTCAAACGAAGAGTAGATAGAGAAAATGTGGTACATTTACACAATGGAGTACTATTCAGCAGAAAAAAAAATGGAATCCTGAAATTTGAAGGCAAATGGATGGCACTAGAAGAAACCATCCTGAGTGAGGTAATCCAGTCACAAAAAGAGAAACATGGCATGTACTCTCCCATATATGGATTTTAGACATAGATCTGGGGGAGTGCCAGCATGGCCAGAGAGTCTGGGAAACAAAACCTTCATTCAGTGGCTGATGGAAGAAGAGGCAGACTCCCACAGCTAAACACTGAGCTGAACTCAAGAAAGCAAGTGACAGAGAGGGAGGACTGATGAGCAAAGAGGTCAATACTGGGCTGGTTTAACCCCCAGAAATAGCTGACCTGACAAGAGTTAATTTTTGAATCCCAGACTGATGCCTGGGAATCCAGCATGGGACTGATCCAGATACCCTGAATGTGGGTGTCAGTGAGGAGGCCTAGGTAATCTATTGAGCCTTGGGTAGTAGATCAGTATTTATCCTGAGTATACAAATGGACTTTGGACACCCATCCAACAATGAGAGATGCACTCTCACCCTGAACTCTTGGGGGAGGGTCTAGGCCCTGCCTTGGATGAAATGACAGATTATGGACACCCCCATGGAGGGCCTCACCCTCCCTGGAAAAATGAGGGGATATTGGAGGGATTGGTGGGAGGGCACAAGAGAAGGGGAGGGAAAATGAGAGGGACCTGGAATTGACATGTGAAGCAACCTTGTTTCTAATTTAAATTTAAAAATAAAATATAAAAAAGAGTCACCTAGGGAACAAATCTGTGGAGTGCCTTGAGGATGTGGGGGTGCCTGTGACAATGCAGGGGTGCCTGTGAGGATGAGGGGGTACCTGTGAGGGTGCGCTGTGCCTATCAGGATGATTCCAGAGAGGCTTAAATGGTATTAGAAGACTCTCCCTGAATGTGAGCAGCATAGTTCCATGGACTGTGGTTCTAAGTGGGATAAAATCATGAGTGCTAGTAGCATTGTTGCTCAGTGTTTCTTGATTTCAGAGGCAATGTGACCATCAGTCTCATGCTCCTGCTGTCATGTTTACCCTGTCTTGGTGGAAAGTATCCTCCCCTAAAATGGCAGCCAAAACACTCCTTTCCTTCCTTAAGCTGCCTTTGTCAGGGATTTTGTCACAGCAATAGGAAAAGCAGTTAATACAGAAATAGGACATTGTTTACTATGGAAACTCAGGAGGGAAAAAGAGATAGCTTTGCCTCCAAAGCTACATAAAATCCATAAACCATCCCCACATCACTCATAGTGATCAAAGCCCCCATCAATAGATCCTGTTTGCCATCACAGATTAATCCAGAAATAAACACTGTTGTCTCACCCCAGGCAGACCAGAATATTTACCAGTGGAGACTGAGGACAATCAAATCGTAAAAGTTCCTACAGTTTCTGAGGATATGACACATAATTTTACAATTACACCTTTTACCAACTTATTTTTATTGGATTTTTTCAGAATTTCACACAATGTGTTCTGATTATATGCACCCCAGCTCCTCCCATATGTATCCTACCTGCCCAATTTTGTATCTTCGTTATTCAGTCTACCAAGTCCTATTTGTGCTACCTATATGTAGTCTTGGGTGTATGGCCTTCCCCTGGAGTATGGTTGACTTACCACTACTCAGGTAGGAGTGCTCACTTTCCCTCTCCATGCTGGATTTTAGTCTTGCTTAATCTCTCATGGGTCTTGTGCATACTGTCATAACTGCTGAGAACTGCTGAGCTCATATGCACAACTGCCCGGTCATGTTCAGAAGATACTATTTCCTTATAGTCACACACCACCTCCAGATCTTACCTGGTTCCCAATTCTACAACAAACTCTGAGCCTTAGAATGAGTATTTGTTTTGATTATAGGTGTTCCATTTAACTGAGCATTCTGAAGTCCTTCACTCTCTGCACCTTGTCTTGTTGTGAATTACAGTGTTAATCAACACTGGTTGCAAACAGAAGATGAAGAATCAACATCTCTGAAAACATCAGAGTAGCTGCAAAGTCTCTCTAACGAGGGTTGAGCAATGCATTAACATATGACTACAGCAACAAACCATTTATATTCTATTTAATATATGTCCATTTATCAGAGTAACAGTCATGGGTTCTTCACTAGGGCCTATGAATGTCTAGCCCCAGGTTCTTAGCCTGATAATGGTTCCAGATCTGGGTTTCATCACATGGAACCATATTTAAATTCAGGCAAAGAGTGGCTGGTTACTCTCATGACATTCATGCCACTGTTGCACCAGCAGACATATCTTGCCAGGCTAGACATTTTGTAGTTCACAGGATTCAGCTGGGTAGGACTGACAATTACTTTTGTCCTCAAAAAGTGTGTATAGAATCTCCTGCCCTATACATAGGACCAAACCAGGTATCCTGAACGTGGGTGTCAGCTAGGAGGACTGGACAGTCTATTGGGCCTTTGACAGTGGAACCAGGATGTATCCCTAGTACACAAACGGACTTCGGAAGCCCATACCCCATGGAGGAATACACTCTTAGCCTAGATACACAGGGGAAGGCCTAGGCTCTGCCCCAAATGACTTGACAGATTTTGATGATCCCTCATGGAAGGCTTCACCTTCCCTGGGGAGTGGAAGGGGGATGGGATTGTGGGAGGATGGGAAAACAAGAGGGAGAGGAAACTGAGATTGATATGTAAAATAAGATTGTTTCTAATTTAAATAAAATGTATATTTTAAAAAAGCTATCCCATAGGGATGAAACTTACAGGTCAGTACCAGTTGGATTTCTCCATGTTCTATATGAAAGTATTTGGTATCTTCAGCAATAAAGTCTTCCTGTCAAGTTCTGGGGAAGAACAAATAACATTGGAGATAGTCTGTAATGTTTGAGAGTCTATAGGTCCTTATTGGTTAACAACTCCAAAAGATCTGGGTTTTTTATTCATCAGCCTGTGGTATCCAGCAGGGTATTCTTGCTCTATCATAGGGTAACTCTATGTACACACACACACACACACACACACACACACACACACACACACAAACACACACACACACTGCTATAATAGTAAGTTTCCATATTACTTTTTTGAAATGTGTTTAGTGTTATTTATCCATGCCCATATTCCCTCCTCCAATCTGCCTTCCAACTCCACCTCAATGTAACCCTTCCTGTCCTATCCTTCTCTTTTTAGTAAACCTCTCTAAAGTTTATATATATATATATATATATATATATATATATATATATACATATATATATATATATATCAGAACAGCATATCCTATCTTAGATATAACCAAAGTTCAAGCTGATCTAATGTTCAAAAGAAACCAAAGAAAACCACACATAGCTGCTTCTGGCCATTATTTTAATCCTCTTTTCATGAAAATGTAGCCCACAAGAGGGTGGATGGGAGCAAATGCCTTCAGTATCATTCAACCACTGGAAGGGATGGGGCACCATGTTCCCAGCCGATTTTTTTAAACAAAATAAATGCCTGCTTCCTTCCGCATGTCGCAATAGAACTGTTTAGTGATACAAAATTTTCCCCATTCATATTCAGCTGCCTGTACTTCATTACTGTCTGCAGATGCTTCCAGCCACGGATCACACCAGCTCTGTCACTCAAGCACTCCTGCCATTGAGCCTGAGGGTAGCTATGGGGGGTGGTGAACATTTACCTTGAATGGCTGAGAAACTCCCTCTCCCCGACACCCAATCAGCCGCCTAACTCAAGTCTGCCCCCTGTTCCTTTTGATGTATCTTGCATCTGTTTCTCCCTCTTTCCTCCTACTGTCACTATGTTTGCCTGGAACATAGACACTTCCTGCCTAGGCCATTGCAGCAGCTTCTTCTTTCCTCTGGGTCTGGATTCTCCCTGTGCCTCCAGAATACGACCATTGATGTATGCTCTCCCTCTCCCTCTCCCTCTCCCTCTCCCTCTCCCTCTCCCTCTCCCTCTCCCCCTCCCCCTCCCTCTCCCTCTCCCTCTCCCTCCCTCCCTCCCTCCCTCCCTCTCTCTCTCTCTCTCTCTCTCTCTCTCTCTCTCTCTCTCTCTCTCTCTCTCTCTCTGTCTCTGTGTGTGTGTGTGTGTGTGTGTGTACACATGTTTGCACATGTACAAGTATACACAGGATGTCACTATGCAACTCAGGCTGACCTCAAATTCACAACCCTCATGCATCAGCACCTTACAAATGAAGCCAGACACATACCATGACACTGGGCCTCCCCACTGGTTTTATCCATCCTCTCTTCAGAAACTCCCAGTGGTTATCTATATTGCTCAACAAATGATGTTCCCTACTACTTTCGTGAGGATTCTCTCTCTGCCCCTACACGAACCCAGTGTTTTCACCAACAAATTATCCAACAAACTCCAAAGATGCTGGACATCATTTCTTTTAGAGATTTTTACCTGTATGACTTCCCTTCTCTTTAGTGACTCCCTGTCTTTCATTAAATTCCCATTGACTCTATAAGGACAAATTCTTCACTCATTCATCCCTCTCCTCATTCAGCAAGCAGTTCATGAGAAGCAGGTACCTTTTGTAATGTCCTGGGGAAGTGGTTAGTGCACAAGTAAATGAGATCATCTAGTTATGCTGTTTGCTAGCTAGTTCAGGAAAGAGATAAATACATACTCATGCAACTAAAATAATGACCAGAAATGTGGTAAGGACCCAGAGCACTATCAAGAAAAGATAGGAGCCAGGCAGTGGTGACACATGGCCTTTAACCCCAGCAATTTGAGGCAGAGGCTGGTGGGTCTTCATGAGTTCAAGGCCACCCTGGTCTATAGAGTAAGTTCCAGGACAGCCAAACCCTCTCTTGAAAAACCAATAATCAATAAAAATAAGACAGGAAGAGTATTATTAGACAACCCCTTCTAGAGTAGGAAGTCAGGAGAGAGAACTAAAGAATTGTTTTACCCTTGTTTCTTGAGCTGGGGAGACATGGGGGTCAAGGATGTCAAAGAAAGTAGATTCAAGATTCAGAAATTAAAGAACAGAAAGAAGTCACCTTGTTATGATGACACATACTTTCACTATTCACCTACCTCCTCTACAAGCACAAGAAGGCCAGCGGTGTGAAAATGAACTGTTTGTCCCATCATAGATCCAGATAAACCAATGGATGGTGCAGCTAACAGATAAATACCTAGAGCCAGCTAAGTAGCAGAACTATAGACACTTCATATGTATTCACCCAGACCATTCTGAAGTTCTGAGATATGTTCTCTCAACTGTTCTGTGAACTCGCAGTACACACACACCCATACACATGTGTTTATGCACACACACACAACAAGGAATATTTGCATGAATGTTAATTAAAAGCAAAGGTAAGTGCTAACAGACACTGGGAGTTCAGACTGCTCAAATTAATTGTTATTAACTGTAGACCCTTCCTCACTCCCTGTCCCTAGCTCCCAATCACAGACAACTCCCAGACTTATAGCTACAATGCAACTAAGGCCAATATCACCCAAATTTAAAGAACCTTGGAGACAACTGATTCTTTGGGGAGATCCCACTGGCCTCTCCTCCCTTACCCTTCTGAAGACTGTGATGGTTTTAACTAGGCTCCAGGTCTTCCTCCATATTTCTACTATAGATCCTACATCTAGGAACAGCAGTCACAGAACCTGGGTACTGGCCCTCAAAGGACGGCAAGACTCACATTAGGAGAAAAAAACCTGGGCTTCCTTTCAGCTTTGAAAGGGATAGGAATGAAGTAGGAAGGAGACCATTTGAGAAGATAGTAGAAGTCTCCAAGCAAAGGAAACAGACCTGGTAAGGCCCTTGGCATTGCATGTAAAAAATATTCTTCAAAGTTTGGCTGGAACATAATGAGTAAATGAGGCATATGGGGACCAAAGAGATTGGCAGGGCATGGGTGACTATAGGAACTTTCCAAACACCATGCAAAGTCACTGATGGATGTTAAGTCAACCATGGTACCTTGCTTCTCTGATCTTAAGGTGAGTTACCTATTATCCAGTTCAGACTCACCACACATACAGGTCATCAACTCCCATCTGGACTGTCAGTATGGAGCCTAGCCATCTGCATTTTTAGCATTATACGTAATGGTGCTGACCTGTAGCAATCTGTACATACCCAGAGTATGGAAAATATTCTCCTCACACAAAATCACAAAGCATATTTTATAGTTGTTATTATTTCACTCAGGGAGAAATTAGGTTGATTTTGCCCAAATATGTCTTTATTTAAGCCAACAAAAAGGGCAAAATCAGTTGCTTATTTGATGACCCCCATCAACACCATTACCCGTAAGAACTCATTCCCATAAATAACGCAGGGACTGCTGGGAAAGGTCTGCTTATAAAATGAATGTTATGCAGTAGGAGGGTAACTGGCATCAGTAGCAAGTTTATTCCCAATTCTTGAGTTTGCCAATTAAATATGTTTAAATAAGAGTTCCAAGGAGCTAGGGCAGTAGTTCTCAACCTGTGGGTCTCAACCCCTTTGGGGATTAAAAACAACAACAACAACAACCTTTTCACATAGGGTGCTTAAGACTATCAGAAAACAGTGACATTTACATTATGATTCATAACAGTGGCAAAATTACAGTTATGAAGTAGCAATGAAAATAATTTATGGTTGGGGGTCATCACAACATGAAGAACTGAATTAAAAATCACAGAATTAAGAAGGTTGAGAACTAGTAGCCTAGGGAGATGAATCAGTTGGTAAATCTTTGTCATAAGGACTTGAGTTTGGATTCGTAGCACCGTCATAAAAGCCTAGTGTAACAATGTATACTTTCAACCCCAGAGTAGCGTGAACAGAGACATGATTATTCCTAGAGTTCATTGACCAGCCTGCCTACCTAACTGATGAGTCTTAGGTCAATGAAAAAGTCTGTCTCAAAAAACAAGTTTGAGAATGATTGAAGCAGACAGACAATGTTGACTTCTAGCCCCCACATGCACGTGTACATATGCATGTACCCACACAAACACACACATACACAGCTTGTATGTAGGTGCATGCGCGCGCACGCGCGCACACACACACACACACACACACACACAGAACTCTGGATCTCAGCTTGGGCTTCATTTCCTCAACAGGAATGCCATCCATGATGAACACTGGTCTAGTAAACCACACGGAACTCTGGATCTCCGTGCTTAGCCAGCCTGGGCTTCCCTTTCCTCAACAGGAATACCATCCACGATGAACACTGGTCTAGTAAACCACTGTCCTCCCTGGTGATCACACAGGCCTGGAAGAGGCTTCGTGCCCGGCTGTAGCACTGCCTCCAGTGTTTGAAGCCTAGGAAGTCATAATCCCAAATGCCATACCTCAAATGTCAAAATTGGAAAGATTAAATCCCCACCCAAAATCAGGCATCTCTAAGAATCAAACACTCAAAAGCCACCCTCCTTAATTAAAATTCTGAATGCTGAAAATTCCAAAAACAAAAACAGTTTCAAAACGTAAAAGGAATAATAAGGTTGAGTTATGTGAAAAAGACTGGTGTACTTTTCATTGTACACAAGATAGAAGCAAGGTTATTCAATTATATGATTACTCAATTGCCTCCATACCTTCACAGCTATCCATGTTTGCTCCAGAAATTTCATTTATGGAAAAATTAAAAAGAAACCCATGAGGGGTGTAGTGGCACATACCTTTAATCCCAGAACTTGGGAAGCAGAAGAAAGGTATAACTCTGTGAGTTTGGGGCCAGTCTGGTATACATAATGAGTTCCATTTCAGGACATCCAGGACTATATAGGAAGATCCTGTCTGGGGGAAAAAGTGAAGAAAAAGAAACAAAGAAGAAATCATAAACTCAAAAGTGTTTCCTAACCAAAGATGGGGAAGGAAAACTCCCCCATGTTTGGAACATGATCACTTGTGACTTATTCTTGGTTAGTGATTTCACTGTCAAGAACATACATCTTACATTTACCACTAAACTAGCAGAAAAACCAGTAGCACACATTTGACTTCAGCTAAGAGATGGCTTTTCAAAACTTTTTCTATTGGTTTTACTAAGTACATACAATCCATGGCCCTCTTGGGTCAGAAAACTCAAGAAGGTATCTGCTTTTTAGTGTATTCATGACTGGAAAAAGCAAAGCACTTGATACATACTTATTTGAAATTTTAACTGAATCCCCAAATCACAATGACAGATTTGGTACCAAGGTTCTCAAGGGTGAGATTCCGAGGTGTTATCAGTGAAGCATTTTCCCCCATTCAGCACAGTGCATCGGGTAAAAGGAGTCAAACAAGTGCATGGATTGCACTACAATATAGGGATAACAAAAATGTTAGTTTCAAAATGTATCTTCCAGCTGATGAAGTTCCAGAAGCTTCTGTGGAATTAAAGCAGCGTTTGTTTGAAGAAGAGAGCAAAAGTACTGACTGGTTGCAAAGTAATTACATGCACAGTAGGATGAGAAAATGCTTACACAAGGGTGTTGTCATCCAATCACCAGCATTGTTCCCATAAAATCTGCTGCCTGTATATGAGTGCATGTAGAATGAATTCCCATGTAGCTAAAATAACACCAAAGCATAGTAGAGACTATGGACACATTTAATAGGAAATGCTCACAGTATACCAAGTTGCAAAAGAATTTCCAAAACAGCCTCACCATGAAATGAGGAGGAGACTATGAACACACTCTCCAAGAAAAGCCTTGCTCTGAAAGACAAAGAGTAGTTAGTTGTTAAAGGGCAAGCTTCAAACCACAGTTAAAGGGCATTGGTATCATCCAACTCTTATGAACCTCCATGTAAGTGTCTATGGTCAATCCATAGAATATCCTTTTATGTCAGGTGACAGCAAAATCTTCATCAACTGGACCTAGAATCACCTGGCAGATGGATGAGGCACACCTCTGGATATGTCTGACTCCAGACAGGATCAACTGAGGGAGGAATATGGACGGGCCAGGGCCCTGGGTAGAGTAAAAGGGGGAAAATAAAAGAATCCCCAAAGTGCCAGCATCCCCCTTTTGCTTCCTGGCTCGTCACGATGCAAACTGAGCTGCCCCACCAGGCACAGTGGAGTAAACTTCATGAAAAAGTGGGCAAAATACCTCTTCCCTCTGTTACATTGTTTCCTTCAGATATTTTTATCACCATAATGAGCGAGTTTTCTTCTTGGTAGTTTAAATTGTCAGCATTATTTTCTTTAAACTCCTTTTGCCATGAATTTCATCTTCACATATTTCCCAGTACTGGATGTATAGATTGTGTAGGGATTCGTGAGGGTTTCTAATTAGCTCCTTTTGCCTTTTTGAAAAATTGACTCTGTAATAGTACATTCTCCCAAGATTAATTCTGAAAGCATTGTGCATATTCATAAGCATGTTGAAATTTTCTCAATAAATGAAGAGATTTCCTTTTTATATGCTCAAGAAAGATTTAAAAAATTTCTGAAGATCTTAGCTCTTTGAACAACTACTTAAGGGGTGGTGATCCAAATGTATTTTGACCCCCCTAAAATATCACCAGTCATGGCATTTCAGATGGTTATAAAGCTAGGTACACATAGTTACCATCCACTGTGATACATGTTTATGGATTTTAATTTTGATCATGTGTTTATTTTTTGTAAGTTTATCCTATTAATAGCTTGTATTTTATCTTGTATTTTTGTTCAGCTGTCAATTATATATCTGCATTTTATGATTTTTATTGTGATGTAGTCTCTGAAACAGCCAATTACATTTTTGTTTCTCAATCCCTCTTTTACAGTAAGAATATACCTATAAGAGTTTCTTTTTCCAGGTTTTAGTGTGTGTGTGCATGTGCATGAGTGTATTCTTGCATGAATGCATACATGTGGAGGCCAGAGGACAACTTTCAGGAGTCAGTTCTGCTCCTCCAGTGTGGATACTGAGGATTGAATCCAGATCCTCAGGCTTGCACGGTTAGCACCTTAACACACTGAGTTATCTCATCCCCAGAGATCTGTCTGTAGAATAAATAATAAAGGTACCCTTAAGACAGACACACCCAGAAGACAGCAGCCAACCAGGCCTTCCACCCAGGTCATGATACTCATTAGCCTGAAATTGTTCAAAAGTCAGAATTATTTTATACTTGGTGTAAGACTACCTTGAAGCAAAAGTAACTTTGTATGCCATGCAATCTTAGCATGGACAGCAGGGAACAGCCCTGTCATGTTCCCATGGTGACAGCACCAGGTGAGTGACAGATATCCCAAGGCATCAAATTTCCATGGGTCAAAGGCTGCTCCTGGATTTGTTCTCTCCCTACCCCGGTCCTTGATTCTTTATAGTGTGATGATTTATCTGTGGAATGAATGTGGGAGAAGGAATGGAATTGGCTTTGCCCCACTCTACCAGACCTAGCCTTCAGACAGGCTCCTCTCTGCTTACTTACACAGCAAACTTTCTGAGCTCCTTCCCAGTTATACCAACAATTATAACAGCAATCAGCATTTACAGAGTTCTTGTAATATGGTAAACACTGATTTATCAAATCCATTTAATTCATGTTAAAGTTATTTAATTCTCACAGTAATATACCACCATATTATTAAATACATAATTATGAATTATATACCTGTTTCACAGGTAATGCAACAATAATTCAGAGAAATCAAACAACTTGTTCAAGGTTTCAAGTGACACAGTTAAGATTCAGACCCAGGAGGTCTTGCTCCAGCGGCCTTACTTGGAACCACCTTGCTATACCGTTTCATGGGATTTTGCAAGTAGGAGATGAATATTACAGGGATAACATCAAACAGGGCAGATGTTTCAGAGATTCATGCTGGGGCTACATGTTAGACCATGTTCTACTCAGTAATGAATGCGAACTGCTACAGACTTCAGATCATGATCTTTCATTACCCTCATAAGCTCAGAGGAAGGACAAACGACACAGGTTGATGCATCATTTATGTGTGCCAAGGCTATCTGGTAAACCCACATGAAAGGAGAGTCAGCTTCCTGCCACACACTCAGCTATTACCCTGATTCATTCATATTCAACACCATAGGCAGCATAGTCCAGAAAGAAGATGGGTAACTAGGTAAGCCATGTGATGTGTCTTAATGAGAAAATTTTAATAGCAACAATACATATTTACCTACTACCAGACACTGCTCTGAGGTATTTTTGTCCTATCATCTCATTTAATCCACACTACACCCCAAAGAAAAACACTATTGTTATTGAATCTGACGAATGAAGAGACTAAGCTAGAAACTAAGGCATATGCCCAGGGACACACACCCATATGTGTGATGATGCTGAAACTGGAAGCCATACAGGTGGGCCCTTAATTGTCAGGGTTGATCCCATGCTCTTACCTATTCCCTCAACCAGAAGTAAAAAACAGAGGGAAAAAAGAGAGAAGAAATGAAGCAGGCAGAAGCCCTAGAGTGAGATGGGAACCCAAACCCTAGCTGTGACCTTACTAGTAAAAAGAAACATGTTACTTTTAATTTCTGAATCCTCATTTACTCTTATGTGGGACAGGATAAGTTCTCTTGCAGGATGCTGTTAAGAATTGGGTACCAGAATATATGCCAAGTGCCCAAGAAAGCTGGGAAACCATTCAGTGGCATCTCCTCCCCAGCATCAAAACCTAAGCAAGCAAAGTTGTCCAAAACCTCATTTGTGCCTTGCAGGAACTCCCTGACTGACAGAGCTGAATGTGACATGGAAAGGAGTTTAACCTAAAGCAAGACCCACAATGAGAGAAGGCTGTCCCCTGGGCCGCAGAAGACAGAGGACAGCATGATTTCTGAACCTGGGAGAGTTATGAATCTTGCAGGCTAAACAAGAGCCTGCCACATGAAGAACAGAAGGTACTAGCCACCCTAACTCAAAAGCCTTTTACTGGTACCATCATCAAATTTAATCCCAACATTCAGAGTTTGTCTTCTTCCTGTGGCACTGAGGGAAGCTAAAAATATCTATTCTGATAATGATTCATTGAAGGACATCATAAACCAACAGTTGGAGGGTTGACCCCAGCTATAGGCTGCCTGTGAATTGCATCCTAAACTGTTATTATTTTCTCATAACAAAATTAGGAACCCAAGGAGCTGGTTTATATTCCAAATGCCTAAAGATGATAATTCATCAAAAAACGTGTTTTTGTTCTGCAACTAAGGTGATGTTGGAGAAGGATGCAGAATTAATCGCCCAAAGCTATAAGTCACCTATTTATTTCTTGATGAATTTACAATGACGAAGTGTGATTGTCTCAGCCCTTATCAACATACACACACACACCTTCCTACACACATATGCACATATACCTGTCTATACAACACACATACACACACACACACACACACGCACACACACACACAAATACATAGTCTCAACAGAACTGTGAACCAGGAAGTTGATCATGTCAGTGACAACATCATCATGGCAATAACAATAATGTGGCCTACATTTCAGATTCTATACCAAGTACTGATGGGCATGGTTATGCTCAGTAGGTCATATTGTTCTCATTCTTGATCAGGTTCCAGAAGGAGGCTCACAGGAATGAATTATTCAAGATGCAGAAGTAGTAAGCAATGCCAAACCTCAAGTCATGGGGAGAGGTCAACAAGACTTCAGAAAGTAGGAAGTTGAAGAGCAATAGCTGAATCCACATACAAATTACACACAACAGCATATTCCCCATCCAGGAGTCCATGAGGAAACCAAGTCTCCCCTT